AAATATATGAAGGTGCCAGACCATGTACAGCCTTATAGACAAACATCAACAATTTAAAATCAATCCGAAAACGAACAGGAAGCCAATGTAGAGAGGCAAGGACTGGAGTGATATGCTCATGGCACTGCGTATTAGTTAAAAGACGAGCTGCTGCATTTTGGACCAACTGTAATCGGGACATTAAAGCTTGAGAAATGCCAGTATACAGAGCATTACAATAATCCAGTCTAGTGCTAATAAAGGCATGAATTGCCTTTTCAAAATCAATTACAACACATTCCGTCTTACTTTCATTAATATGTAAGAAGTTATGTGATAACCATGCCTTAATGTCCCTCAGGCAATCCCTCAAGGTCTGAAATGAGTTGCTCTTATTGACATTCAATGGCAAATAAATTTGAATATCATCCGCATAACAATGAAAAGACAACCCATATTTCATAAAAATCGATCCAAGGGGAAGTAAATACAAAGAAAAGAGAACTGGCCCCAAGATGGATCCCTGAGGCACACCACAGTTCAAAGGAACAGCAGAAGAAGAGAACTCATCAATATGTACAGCAAAACTCCTATCAGACAAATACGATTCAAACCATTTAAGAACATTACCATGAAGTCCTACAGAGTGCTGCAGACGGGACAACAAAATACGATGGTCTACTGTGTCAAAAGCAGCTGAAAGATCTAGGAGAATCAGAATGGCAGTATTACCTTCATCCACAGTAAACACAAGATCATTAAATACTCGCAACAACGCTGATTCCGTACTGTGGTGTGTCTTAAAACCAGACTGGAACTTTTCAAATATGCTATTATTCTCTAAAAAGGTCTGTAACTGTATAAAAATCGTTTTCTCTAAAATCTTAGACAAAAATGGTAACTTAGAAACTGGTCTATAATTCGATAAAACAGTACTATCAAGATTGGGTTTTTTAAGAATTGGTTGAACCGCTGCATGTTTAAGTGCCGTCGGGACAATCCCAGAAGCCAGAGAGCCAGTGCACTGACTTCATATCTAACTTACACCACAAAACTCCAGCATAGCTGACTCCAACATATCAGAGAGAAAAATATATTTAAGAACAGTCCCATCCACTTACCAGACACTAGAATGATCACAAGCTTCCCATTCTTGTTGAGGAGACTCTGGAAGAAGCTGATGGTAGCTCCAGGATCCTTCACAAAGTATAGCATCTGTCGATTTCACCACAGGCAATGAGCTGGTGACTGGATTCACAGAGCACCTACTGTAATTATAACACTATGCTAGACAGATGTTCTAATGGGATTAATTACTGTGGAGCACCACCAAATGAACATGACCTAGATGTGTCAAATACCAAGTCTGTGGGGCAGAAGAACTTCACTTCCAACACCAACCTGTATCATGTGAATGAAGTCAGCTTTCTTTGTTGTCTTTTTCACTTCCCAGTGCTATTCAAACTCAGAAGCAGTCATCTGGCTCCAGGTAAATTTGATGTAATCTAAACCTGGTGTCTGTGACACTAAAACTGCAGACAGGCAACAAATAGTTATTGTACTTCATACATCACTGTGTTTATACAAAAATCAGTGTCAAAAAGTGTGAATCTATGTGGTTACTGAATGTTGTTTCATGCAAATTTGTTATTTGATACATTTTGAGAAAGTTAAACTTTTTATTAAAGTAATTTAATTCAGAAAACAGTGCTCTGCAATATTAAAAATTCAGTGATGTTTTACTGTCTACTTTGACCTTTTTAAGATTTACACGATTTACAACTGATATTTGTCTCGTTGCAAAGAATTTGAATAATTTGCATCTCAAAACAAACAACTCATATGTGTTGTAACACACGTCATTAAAACCGGTGGATACCATTTGGCACAGGCATTAGGAGTATGTGATTTTTTTCTATAAGGGTCCAATGAAGACTAATAAACTGGAAAAGAACTGATAAACCAAAGTCCCTCTAACCCAGTGTCCCCCCTTCCCTGCCACATTCTACAGGATAAGCAGTAAAAATAAAGGATAGATGGATGGAAGCAGGAAGCAGCAGGTGAGGCTGGGGAAAACCACATCCAGCACCCGGACAATAAGCACAGGTGCCCCCCAGGGATGTGTGCTCTCCCCTCTGCTGTTTTCACTCTACACCAATGACTGCATCTTGAAGGACCCATCTGTCAAGCTCCTAAAGTTTGCTGATGATACAACAGTCATTGGTCTCATCCGAGACGATGACCAGTCAGCCTACAGACGGGAGGGTGAGCAGCTGGTCCTGTGGTGTAGCCGCAACAACCCCGAGCTGAACAAGCTCAAAACAGT